CAAGGTTAACGGGGCTATAAGTTTGCGCTACTGGGCTCCAGGGGCCTCGGCTGATTGGGTTAACACAACCCTTGGGAATCCGAGTGAGAGCAGGGGAAAAAAACATAGTATTACTCCTGCAACATACAACAAAGCAGCACTGATTGTGCATTAAGGCGGCGGTCTAATAACCACGGACGACGTCTTGCAAAAGTAATCGCAAAGTGATTCCGTGGCCAGACAGATGCGTTGGTACTACAGCGGAGTAACGATCATGGTGATTTTAACACGTAGGATTTCGCGACCGATATCAACCACTCTTACAGGTTTTTGTTTTGTTTTGTGAGATCACGTAAATATATAAATGTGTCGTTAAACCCGCCACCACCCGGTACAGCAAATGTCTCCACAAATCTGTCTGTCGCCTGATGATGCTCATTGTAATTACTGGCGAAACGCCGTACTCAGTTTGTAAACATTGTGGGTGTATTCTCCAACACACTGGTTTGGTGTACTAGTAACAAATTGGCACGTTTTGTTTACATTACTAATTGGCTGTGTCGGTGGTGGCAGATTTAACGACACATTTATATTCATGTGATCTAGCTCCAACAAACAAACTGCATTATGAATGATGATGATGACTTTTGTGTGCTAAGCACTAACTTTAAGCCGAGTCAATCCCGGTTCGGATATCAACTGTTGAGCGTCACGAAGAGGAATCAAACCTGAGTCATTGGGACGATGGTTCGGTTCGTTACCTCCTACCCAACCACCCCCCACACGTGTTACACGGATACATGCTGCACATAGACGCCTACATGTAATGCACAACATGCCTTGCCTATCCACTGCTGGATAAAGACACCCCCCCCTGTGCCACGTCAGCCAAGGGCATTGTTTGACTACACTCACCACGCTGGGCAGTGTGGGTTGGTGAAGGTGAAGGAGGAGAAGGGTGCCCAGGACCAGCCAAGGTTTGGCTCGCCACGGCCAGGAATCAAACTCTTGTCACCGGGTTCACGGTGCAGTGTGCGAACCACTGCTCCCCCAAAGACAAATATCCCCCTTGTAGCCTCAACAGACTGCCGGGGCAAGTGCCGGGAATGGAGGGGGATGGGGCGGGAGGGGGGGGATGAAATTGAATTATGGCGGGATCCCTCTCGCTCGCTTGTTTTGATAACGGGAGGCTCTACATTAATATGCGGCCATTAAATAAATCCGTGCGCTCCGAGGAGCCTCCGCAGAATGATGGGCGCATAAACAGCCTCATTACGTGCTTGCCCAGAATTGTCCAAAAAGCCTCTTCTTGATTTATCGAGAGTTTGGTCCCTACCAGTGGGCAATAATGCGGCGGACGCTCCTTCATAAGTGCTTTCTCATTACCGCTCAGCGACGGGGCCCTTTGTCCTCTTTCTGCGTCTCATTACTTGCGCTGTTTATCGCGCAAAACACCCAGACGCGGGGGGCAGCGTCGCGGCCGGGGGGGACCCCGGAGCGGTTGCGCCGAGGCTCCGGGGCAGCAGCGGCCTACAAATAATTTGCGTGATCCAAGTTAGCTCACTCGGGTTTGACGCGCGCATTTGACGGGGACACCCCCCCACCCCCCCCCCGGAAGTCTGCGCGCGTTGACGACACGCCGCTGCCGCTGCTGGACATCTGCGGAAAAAAGAGCTTTGGAGCTCATCGTATTCCTCCGGTAGAAAAAAAAGATTCCGATTCTCTCCGCGGCTTTGAGTCGATCTCTGCGCCGCGGCTGAACGGCTCGTCGGGTGAGGCTCAACGGAGACTATCGGTGCATGCGGCTCCACAGAGCCCAATAGAGATGAATGGAGATTAGCAGGCAGCGGGCATGTGGTTCCACGCAACCCAATGGAGATAAATGGAGTGTAAGAGACAATGGTGACTGTGTAGGAATTGAAGTGAAATTAACATTGGTACAGGCAAGTGCCACAGAACTCAATGGAGACAAACATCAGTACATGCGGCCCGCAAGAAATCAATTGAGATGAATAATCAGTCTGTGTAGCTGCGTCGTATTGAGTGGTAGATAATCAGTGCCAATGGGTCTATAGAATTCAAATGAGACTAATAATCAAAGGACATATCCCCATAGAAATAAATGTAGCTAATCAGTCCATGTAGCTGAATATAATTCAATAGGAATTAACAAATGGTAAATGCAATCTTTTTGAGTTGAATGCGGATAATTAATGACACGCATGGCATAGTTTATTCGCTATTTGTGAATGCAGACAATTAGTGAAAGTAGCTGAATAGAACTCCACTGAGCTTAATAATCAGTTGCATGTAGCTCGAAATAACCCATTGGCTCGAAGCTGGTCAGCAGCCCTAACTACTGTAGAACGCAGGGGGTAACTCAGTCAATTAAAAACTGTCCTGCCACATACTAAACACAACATCAAACAACCACAGCACGGGAGCCGTCGCTTCTCAAGTCTGTTGCTGTGAACATCGGCGCAAAAGAGAGCGGCGCACTCCATTCGTTCTCAATACGCTGTCCTCTTTTCGACGGTTGTTTGTGTGGATTCGTTGCGCGTATATTACAGCGCACTGGGCTTGCAATTCAGAAGTCGCCCCCGCTTCGATCTCCCGGCGCGGCGGTTGAGACGACGGTGCAAGTTTCTTAAATCTCCCGCGCTCAGCGCACCACCTCTGTCCCAGCCAGCGTGGGGACTCCCACGTCTTTCAAGAACATCTGGACAGCGTGGAAGAGTCGGGTGAGAGCTCGCCCCAGTGGAGGCCCTTCCACCAGCAGGTGAAGTGAGCGAGGAATTTCAGGGCTGGACCTTTACCTTTGACGCCGTGTTTGTGTGGGTGAGCAGCTTCTGACAAGCGTGGACACGACTCGGGTTTTAGATATGGGCCCAAATATGGGGCACAATGTTTGTACCATCTTCTATTCGAGATAAGATAAGGCAGGGGCATGTTCAAGATTTCTTTGCATGGAAAACATAACATGTGATGGGGATCGCGTCCATGTACTGCGCATGCCGGAGACAATACGGTTAGAAATTTGTGGAGCATATATCATATATATAAAATACGAAATAATAACAATATTATTTTTTCCACCAAGCCCCTGACTTTTGATCAAGGTTTTGATGCCGGTGTGCGTTTTGGGAATTGACTTATTAAAGTTATGTTCGGCATCGCGGCTTGGCTATTGCGACGCTCGTATTACATTTTGTGCAAAAAATAATAAACGGGGATGACTTTGGAAATTCTGCGCACCTGTGGAGCTGTCTTAAATCTAAAAGAACAGATCACCCGACAGGCAAACAGAGCACCAGACACAGCGAGGAGCAGACACTGGGCCTGCTGACTCAAAACAAATGAAATGCCTGAAAGGATACGACAAGGAATTAATTGATTCATTCACATATTGAGGGGCGCTGATAAGGAAGTTTCTGGCCAGGTGTATGATCTGCCCCGAGCACATCCATAAAGACGCAATGACTATCAATGGCGAGCAGCGAAGCCTTTAACCGGCATTCTGAACCAGACCCATTTGTATTTGTGCGTTGAACACGTGACAGCGCAAACAACGCCCGCCGTTCGTGCACAGTGACATCGGAAGTCGCCGCAGTGTCCGCGCCGGGCTAGGTACACCATGATGCTACGTAGAGAAATGCAGGCTCGGCCGATAGGCAGTCATGGGTTAACGGAGCGGAGGCAGTGGCAGCAGCGCCACAGGCACTCTCCCACTGTGGCAACTCGCTGTGTCTAATCCGCCTGGAGCGCCGATCCTTTGCTTCTCTCTGTTGTTGGGGAGTTGGCCACTGTCAACTGCCCAGCAAGCCACATTTACACGAGCTTTGTACGCAGAAGCCAAGCCCAACACCAGCGGCAACAGGAATCAGCAAGTCCACTTTAGCTCCAAGTCCTCCTGTACTGCATCAATCCATGCTGTGCCCGTTCAACCAACTTTGCCCGGCTAAAATATAGCCGCTTGCGTAAGCAGTGGCTGGCCAGAAGACCCAGCTAAGGCATTCTTTCACATGCCAAAGGAGCCCACGGATGGGAATTTGTCTAGATATTTCATGATATTTCAACACTTCTCCGAACGCTGTCCAAATTTGAACAGCCCAGGATGGATATCACGGGCAAACCAGCCAGAATCTCAAATCAACGCTGGTGTTCCTATCAAAGGGACCACATTTCACAAGCACAGGGAAGAGAGAATGATAATGTTCATGGCTTGAGAAAGACCTGGCGTTCCTTTCATGCAGTGTAGCAGGGCAGGTTGCTTTCACACAACATTACAGTCAATGGAGTCATATTAGCAAATCATAGTAAGATCTCTGCTTGTGGGCACACTGCCCAGGATATGGGAACTCCACATTGACAAATATCTCCCCCTAATAGACATAGCAGACTGTTGCGACAAGTCCTGTTAAGGAACACCTATGAAGGCCAGGCAAGAGCACAACAGTGGGCGGGGTGGCCAGTACGTATGCACTGTTTGTCCTGTATATTGAACTTCTTTCGCGCCCTACGTAGCTGTACATGCTCATCAGGTGCGGCTGGCCGCCTCCATCGCGCTGACGTTTTTAATGCCGCACCAGGTACTCATTTAGAATGCTGAGTCGATCTCGAGGAGGCCCAAGACAGGTTCTGATATTCAACACTAATGTGGTGATCCGTCATGCGATGCTACCCGAACTCCACAAAAACAAATGTGCTGTTTGGGAGCACATATTAAGGCCAGAATGGCACACGAAGTGGTGGGTGGCCAGCACCACGCCCGAATGCCTTTGTCTCCCTAGTGGCGATGTTTACACATCACACCAGGTATTAATTTGAGGCTCAGTCGATCTAGGGCAGGCCCAAGACCGGTTCAGATAATAGTCACTGGTGTCGGCCGTGAGCGGGAATCGAACTTGGGTCGCTGGGTTCATAGCGGGGCACACTAACCATCGCGCCACCACTACAACTCCACACACAGACACACAGAGAATCGTATGCACCGACACAAACGCACAAATACACGCGCGTACCTGTTGCTGCTGCAGGTGCAGTAGTTCGGCTGCAGTGAGATCAAGGGCGGACGCCGTTTCCCCGTTTATCCGGCTCTTGCACACAGAGTCTGGCTGCCCGCTGGCCCCTCCGTTGGCTCCCACTGGACTTGAGAGCACATTGCTTGCAGTCTCGACCCCACTGTCCTGCATCGTGGCGTTTAATCTGTGTCGGAACAAAAGCGGGTGTGCTCAGAGAAGATATATTTTCTCGCCGATGACTCACGCGAGCGCTAATTAAGGCATCCGAATGCTAATTGATCTCCAGCAATGAGCCACCTTTCGCTGGCAAACAATCGCCCGTGCCATTGTGTTTGGGGGAAGAATTTTTTTCTTTCTCGTGGAATGTATTTCTCACATCTGTGAGCGGCAACATGGGAATATGTTTTTTGCATTTCTTAGATGTCGGTGCTTGGTCTGATCGTATTTGCTTACAGTGTGTAAACAAGAGCTGGTGGTAAATGTTTAAAAGGCATATCGGAGAACCGTCGTCAGGACTTATCGCGATGGTGATTGTTGGCTTCAATCTCGAGACCGCATTTATTTAATTCTCGCAATAATGGCCTTGCAAAAAAAATGTGAACGGGAGGCTTCAATTGCCAGTGGTCGTTCATCAGAGATTATTAAAAATGCCATGATTAAATTAATCAGGTTTCTGTCAAAAATCACACTCTGCTCACCGATGGAAAAAAAAAAGGGCTAGGATATTATGCAGTAAATTTGATTCGCAAGACATCTTGAAGGTCACTTAGTTTAACCTCTTTATGTGCAGCGACGCGCTTGGCGCGATGCTATCATGACAGAGTGGTCACAATTCGCGAGCGTTTCGCCATCGTTGTCTTTGCCGCATCTCCTGTCATGCCACGGCGCGTTACGCCTCGAAGTCAAAACTCATCAACTGGGTAAGCGAGCCTTTGTTCCGTTGTCACCGGCGACGCAAATCACCTTCACGAGCGCGGCCGCGTTGGGAACGTGAAAACTTGTCGTCGAGACGGAGGGGGTTAAAGGTATTCATGGAAATTATGATGATCATTACACAGCAAACTCCTACATCATCTGCTATGCTGATAAAGACAGCAGACAGCGGAAAGCACTTATCCAGCACACATTGGTACGTACACACACGCGCACGCGGCGGCAATCCAACATCTTTACACGATGAATATTCAATATAAAACCATTTCCAAGCAGAGCAATTATCCTGCATTATCCAGGATGACTCAAATTAACACTCAATTAATTTTCTAATAACCAAACAAATGAAAACTATAAATCTCAGCCTTCCATTAATTTCACCATTATTTAGTGCCGCAATATCCACAGAAAATATGAAAATAATATTCGTCATGAATATCACCGAGGTCTATGCTAAAACAGCATAAATTATGCATATGGACCATCTTTAAAATCATGAATGTTTCATCATTTTTACTGCTGAGGGAAAAGGAGTGAGATGCATTTCTTAAATCTCAGAGGAACAACCACAATTTAAAAATTCTCATTGACAGCACGGGGCATACCGTACACATCTTACGGTAAGTAAAATGTGGGAGGCGGGGAAAGAAGAGAAGGATTCTTTTAGCCTAATGTCTGTCTGAATGAGTTTCCAGGATTGCAATCACGAAATAATTTAATTGAGCGACTGATTTCATTTTTTGGTCATGTCATTTTTTGGAAATCAATAGAACAAACACAATATGCTCTTCAATTTATAAGCGTCAAGTTCTGAAATGTATATATCATAGCTCCAAATGTGCGGTATATTCCGCGGTGCGCTTCTGTACATTTTGACTCTTGATATTTAAACGAAGATCGTTGTAGAACTTCTTTACGTTTCACAATGTCCTTGAAATAAATCGTACATTGTGACATTTAACGGGCACTGCCCCGTCGTCTCGTGATCAGCAATTTTCGCCAAAATCACGAAGGCTGCGACGTGCTTAAAAGAAAAACAAGCTCTCTCATGGATTGTTTTACACAGATCTTCATCAATCCACTGCTGGATGACGGCCTTCCCCGATGCCTTTCGATCGCAGGGGGGTGGGGACGGGGGGGATTGGGCCGTAGGTCACCACGCTGGCCATTGCAGGTTGGTGGATGGGGGTGATCGAGGCCCAGGACCGGTTCAAATAATAATCTCTCGCCACTGCTGGCAGCCGTAGCTGGCAATTCAACGTGAGTCGCCTGGCACACTGCTCAGCAGCAGCAGCACAAGAGCAGCAACGCCACCTCTACCAGATGAATACGTCAAATTTTTTTTAAACAAAAAGTCTCTATTGGTTCTCCGTTGCCTCAAGAATTAATACGGTAAATCACGAAACTGTGACTCACATTTTCGGCTGATTCCACACCGCTTAAGTGTTTTTTTTTTGCTACAGCCGCTTGAGGTGACATCATTGAACACCGATGTCAGAAACAAGGGGCGACATCGACAAAACGCTTCTCAGTAGAGTGACGCAGCGTAGCCACGCCTACTGCGCCACTGCTAGACCCCCCCCGCCCCCCCCCCCACTTCGTCAGAGGAAGAACTCAACAGGACGAAAATCATCAAATACCTTCCCTTTGAATTAAAACTAAAAGTCGTCTAGCACTGAGTTGGCAGCGGTGCATTATTCGTGCACAAGCAAGACGTTTGTCAATGAAATTCCCTAAATGTAAAACAATATATCGCAGGTGACGTTTTGGATGAAAGGCATTGACCGATGTATTTGTACTTTTAGGGTTAGTCTTATTGACCTCCGTTTTGCGTAATATATGTTTTTATTAGAATCGTAATCAAACACTTTCTTCAAAAATATCCCAACATGTGCACACAAAAACAGCGTGTTTTTTTATATAAAGAACTAATATAACGAAATAAATAAACACACATCACGCTATCCACATTAAAATGTAAAGAAAACTACGCATCCGAACGGCAAAACTACACGAATAAAGTTACATAGTAAGGAGGAACTGCATATATTACTCAAACACGATAAACAATTTGACAACACGGCTATACTTGATCTAGGTCTCAAAATGAGAAATTGACACAAAATCCCAACTTTTATTTTATTTCTATATTCGGCAATAAGTTAAAATATATGTTCACAATCTGAATCCATAAGATAATAATCCACACAAATAATGAAACACATACATTTACATTGGTTTTAAAAATATATGAATAAATATATAAACGCAAAATGTTAACCCACGGGAGAACAACCATCATCAGTGACTTAAATGTGCTTAGTCGGGAAAAATGTCGAGATTTGAAACTAAATATTTTCCCAATTTAAAGCGGGGTGGTTGATCAAAGTGCCTCCACTGGCTTATTAACACGCGGCTTTCAAGGGCTCATCAACAAGCAAGCAGGGCCCCCTCTCTGAATTATGGGCCAAATGAGAGAGACGACGCCCCGCCTCCTCCTACTTTGTCAGCTCATCTCACGAGTGTGGCCAGGCAGAGGACGCGTGATCGCGTGCGTGCGTGACTTCTCACCTGCAGACAAACCCACTTCGGCACCACCAACAACAACAGCGAACAAAAACGGCGGTTTGAAAACGTGTGCGGTGGTGGCGGCGTGGGGGAGACTAAGGTGGCCGGGCGTGGTGTTGGTCACCCACCCCATCGTGTGCCGTGCCGGCCTTCATGTGCGCTCACGAATAACACCTGCCCCAACAGTCTATTAAGGCTCTATGAGGCGGAGTGGCGTGGTGCAGGCCACCCACACCCTCGTGACGCCGTGCCAGCCTTCATAGGTGCTACTTGCTAACAGCACTTGCCCCAACAGTCTGTTAAGGCTACACCGGGGATCTTTGTCGTTAGTGGCGGTGGTGATGAGGATGAATGTTTAGAGGTGAGAATGTTGCAGCCTTGCGATTTCTTGCGAGCAACACTGCCGGATTGTTTATTGTTTATTGAGTTTGTGAGCTGAGCTGGGCCAGGATTGAGCAAGCACAGAGGCCACTTTTCACCCAGGCAACCGGAGAGCACAGATAGTTCTTGACGTATCGCCACAACAACAACAATTACATGTATATATTTTAAATGCACAATTTATACAATAAATAACAAATATACAATTAAGGAGGAGAATTAAAACATGTTTTGTTTACTTAAAATCTGGTGGGAAGAGCCTCCACTACATGGAACTCTAGAGAGTCAATTGCTAGAGGATATTTGGACTCATTTCTGTTTCGGGAAAGGCAGGATTACCCACGCTGCACCCCACCACACCTGACCTGCCAATCACCTGCTCACCCTGTGCCCATTTATACTGTTGGCTGCATCGAGGCGGGGAGGGGAGGATGTCAGAAACTTGCCCCATTGTTTCAACTGCCCCGCACCAGGAGATGGAATTGAACCGTTGCAAGTTCAGTGCGCCGCGAACCATTACATCGTTACATCACGTGGGGGGGAAGGTGGGTGGGAGAGAAACTCACACCATCGTTCAAACCGCGCCGGGAGATCGAACCGGCGACCTCTGTCCAGCGCATCTAACTGTTACGGCACATCAGCGTCTCCCCTCACATGCGTGGGGTCACACTCACAATCGGTTCCATTTATTTACACCGAGCGAATCACATGACGCCTTTTGATGAGTGGCTTTGCTTGGGACATCACGTGAACATTTTTACAACTCACTGCATGTCTCTGCATGGCAGTCAATTAGAATTCTTTCTCATTCCTTTATTTTAAACTCGCTCTGCTTTGGGGGCAATTTCACGTAATAATTTACGTAACAGCATACATTATTAGGTAGCGTCTCTGTTCAATATTATTATTACGAGTTAGATGTGTCAAGACTCTTTTTTAACAAGTTGCGGCTCTGGATATTCGGCAAAGCCAATTTTGAATGAAATTATTATTGTTGTTGTTGTGGGCAGAATGAATTAACAGTGCCCAGAGAGAACCCACACATGCACTGGCACATTCATTAAAACTCTGTAAATACATGTCTGCAACCTCGTTGCTGTACTGCCTCCCATAGACGCATGTTTTGCTCTCTAGGTAGGTGTCTCTAACACACGCTCTGCGTATGATTTACCAAACGGGCATACGATTCGGTGCAGAAAACCCGCGTGGCTAAGCAGTCTCGCGCTGAAATGAAGATGTCTGCGCTTTGCGCTAATAACGTGGCGGGGCGCGTTCTATTGTTTCCAAGACAGAAAAGGGAAA